CTGGGCAGTTGGCGGTGTTGTGCCGGACCGCCTGGTGGGTGCAGGCGTCTGGCGGTTGTCCCCTGGGCGGGGAAGGGCCACCGCCCTCGGAGTGGGACGAGCACCGCCACGTTCCTGCCACATGGTTCACGTCGCTAAGCTCCACGCTGTTCGCATTTTGACCGTCCTTCTCAGCTTTGCCGACTGGACTAGCTTGGGCTGTGACCTTAACTTCCTTTATTAGAAGCCTGCGAGGCGCCATGCCGTCCTGCCCGCGTGGCTGAGGAGGAGCCGGCCTCCAAGGCGACTTCCGCAGGGAGCGGCTTGCTTTGTTTTTTACGGGCATAAACCTTAGGAGAAGCCATTTTCGTGTTCAGGCCACTTCGCTGAAGTGCTCTTCTACCTTAAAAGCAAAACTGGAGGCACCAAAATTTATCTGTGCAGGTGCATCAGACAGAGCCAGCATCGGGCGGCACGCCAGGCCCCGGTAGGAGCCCCGCGGGAGAACGGCCTCAGAGGCGGTGACGACTGAACCAAGCCGCTTCCGGTGGGACGTCTTCTCCAGGGTGAAACTGGTCGACCGTAAGCGACCCCCACATTGCGCTTCCGCTGGGTTCCTTTGAGGGAGAGGCTGGGTGGTGATTTACGGTGAGCCTGCTGAGGCAGCCACGCGGCCGCGATGGCGTGCGGTCGGCCAGCCATGTTGTCACGAGGACACGCTCGTGGGAAGCCACCACGGACGGTTCCCCTGGCGGTGGGCCGACTTTACGTGCTCGGCCTGGAATCGTTTGAGACTCTGCGTCCCAAACCCTCAGCGTGGAACTTTGGGAACTCGGGGAGCCTTTGGTCAAACCCGAGTGCAGATCCAAATCCAGCGTCTGAAGGAAGAGCCGACGTTGCCTCTGGTCCTCCTGGAACCCTGGCTGTGCGCTCAGCCCTCCATCTGGGCCGGTCAGATTTCTCGACCTTCACAACGGAGTGACGAGGTCACCGCGGGTGACGCAGCTCCTGGAGCGCATGGCTCCCCATCAGCAGCCAGCACACCAGCCCTGGAGCGCCCCCCGCTGCTGTCTGGCGGCCGCCATCGCTGAGTGAAGGAAAAGATTCTCTGGAGTTCGTTTGGTCACTCTAAGAGCCGCCCTTCAGGACTGCAGAGTCTTAGAGGCCACGGGCCTGGGCCACCGCCAAGCACCTCCTTGCCGTCACTTAGGACCCGGCCAACTGACACCCACTTTCTCTTGCTATGAGAATGCCTGATGATCGCTGTCCACTACCTCGCCATGGACGCTAACTAAAGCCGCCCGGTGCGTGTCCTTCACCACTTCCTGCCACACGGAGCCCTCTGCCAAGGAGACGGCAGGCTCGGGCCCCTCTGGCTCCTTCAGCCAGAATGTGTTCCTCTATGTCTGGAAGCTCAGGGCTAACGGAATTTCACACAGCTCTTAATGTCGATTTTCTTAAATTTTGATTTTTCTTAATATGTTTATATAACCTTGTGTGTTATACAAAAATATAAATTTAAAGAATTTTAAATTCTTTTTAGAAAGAGGGAAGATTGCCTAAATAAATCACACTAAAACACTGCTGACCACAAAGTACCATAAAATTACGTTCCAGTCCACGATCTGGAGTGCGGCGCCTCCGTGGGGTACAGAATTACTCGGGCTGCCGTGAAACAGGCATCCTCAGGCCTTGAGGGAGCCTTCGCCACCCCCAGAGCCAGCTCACTCCGGGGCGTTCACGAGGGCTGGCGCCCCAGGAACGCCGGCGGAAGGAAAGCGTTTCTGGGGGAGCCCCCAGGTCCGCGAGGGTCGGCCGCGTCCGCGGTCGCCGTGGTTGTCTCTAGTGTTTGGCCGCTGCGTGTGCGCGCGCGCGCGCGCTCAGACCGGAGAGGGGCGGGGCAAGAGGGTCATCCCCGAGACGCCTCCCCCAGCCTCTGTGATTCCGCGTTTGGAGCTGGGGCCACCCGCAGCGTCTCCTGCCGCGGCCGCGCGGAGGGCCCGAGGCCAGCCGTCCGGGGAACCGAGGCCGAGGCGCAGCCGGATGCTTGACCCCGCCACCGGGGGCCCACTGTCTGGCTTTCTCGGGAGCTCAGTGCCGGTCAGGCGCAGTGAGCAGCTCCTGGTCCATGGGGGGCCGGGGCGGGGGTGACGCAGGCTGTCCGGAGGGCTCGCTCCAAACGCAGGGCCACCTCTGCAGTGGCCTGGATGCGCTGGGCCCTCTCCGAGGGGCAGGATGGGCTTTTAGCTCCATAGGGATTATTGGGGGCTTTTTAACGGATGCCCCCATTTATCCTGTGTTCCCCATATTTCATGACATGTGAAATACAGAGGCCACTCATTAATGTTTTTACAAACAGGAGAAGAGCGAAGGCGTGTGTGTCGGGACCCAGAAAGGCATGGTTTGCCTCCCTTAATCCAAAGAGCGATGACGTCTCCCAGGACACGGGCATCCCGCGGACGAAACGGAGCTGGAGCGGAGGCGGCTGGGCCGGCGTTAACCCGCGGGCGTGTCTTGCTCAGACCTGGAAGTTTGGCGCCGGCGCCCGCGCCCTGCTCGCGGATCCTGGACGCGCGCGGCCCCTGCTGAGGCCCGGACAGTGGCTCCAGAGCGGACTTTCAGTGGTTCGTGACGAGATGGGTGACCAGGCTCCGGCCGAGACTCCGCCCACAGGGGCCACCTGGCGCCTCTTCGTGGCCTCCTCACTGGGCTCGGAGGAGCTTCCGGAGCTGGACGCACGCGGCGTGGGGTGCGGCGCGAGGCCGCCACCCAGCCCGAGGCCGACTTCCCCCGCAGGCTCCGCTCTGGCTGGGGGGAGGCGGCGCCCCGCGTGCGGCTGCTGCCAGTCAGATTTCCTGCACGGCCCCGGGTCCTGGGGGTTGAGTAGCGACCTGAAACCTCGAAAAGCCTTTGCGAGGGGACAGTCACCGTGGAGCTCTGCGGGAGGAACCCGGCGGGTCCCCAGCCCCTGCGGCCGTGGCCTTCTCTCCGCGGCCCCTCGCCTGCGGCGGGCACTCAGGAAGGACGCGGGTCCACGCTGATTCAGCGTTCGGCTCCCTGGTGGGCGGTGGGGACACGGGGTCCTGTCACGTGAGAAACTTACCGCGGACATTCTCCGGACGGGCAGACCGTGCTGCTCGGAAACGCAGGGTCGCGAGCGGAAAGCGCCGCAGCCTGCGTCCTGGCGGGAGGCCCCCTTCAGTGCCTGCCCAGGCGGCTGCCCCATAAACACTGACGTGGCGGCTCGGTGCAGACGCGGGACCTGTCACACTGTGTGCAGAGCCTAGTGATCGCGGCCACTCACTGGTGTCTCGAACTGGGAGCGTGGGTCCACTGCCCTCGGTGGCAGCACGAAGACGCCGTGACATCTCAGGTGACACCTGCGTCATGGCTGAGGAGGCCCGGTGCCCTCAGAGCCTGCCCAGTCCTCCACTGGGAGTTACCGGTGGCACCGGTGGTGGGAGGAGGGGGGGAGGTCCAGGCAACTTGTCTGCGCCTCCATGTGTGAGTGCAAATCACACCAGGGGACCCTCGGCTCAGGACGCCAGAGCCCAGAGGTACCCAGACCTCGCTCTGGGACCCCGCTCAGGGCGGCCCGGTGTCATTCGGCCTCGGAAAACATTGCTAACGCCGCCAGAGTCAGCAAGCTGGCCATTAGCACGCAGCGGCCGGAGGAGCCTCACGCCTGGCCGGTCTCGCCGTTTCCGTTGCTGTGAGGGTGATTTTCTCCCCATGGAGACGATCTCAGCAGCTGCACGATGGCCTCACCCCCAAGGCCGGGTCGGCGGCTGTCTGAGCACGCAGCCACCCAGCCAGCCGCATGGCTCACGTGACACCCACTGGGGCTTCTGCCCTCCTGAAATCATCACCTTCCGAGCGCCTCTGAGAAAACCCTAAGCCGGGTGCGTGACAGCCACGTTCTTAGTGAAAGCAGCTGTCGGCACCGGGCCGACACTTCCCTGGTCGAGCACCCCCCACCCCAACACTCCCTGGACCGTCAGCGACCGGGAAGCCGTGTTGGCCCCAGTGAGGCGGATGGGTCTGGGACAGAATCTGCCGTGATGCGGTGACAGCGGTGAACTGCCCAAGGACCCCGCTCTGGTGCCTGCATCTCCAGCGTGGAGACAACACGCTACGTGCCTGCCTCTGCCGGGTCTTGGGGTGCAGGGTGGGGACCCCAGGGAGGCCAGCCACTGGAACTCCTCCTGAGCTGTGAGTTGCATCACAGTGGCAGTGAGTAACTAGACAGATGACAGATGAATGATAGATGATAGATAGACAGACATGATAGATAGCTGACAGGTCGGTCGATCGATGATAGGTAAATAATAGATAATGCATGGATGACAGATGATAGATCCATAGAAAAATGACAGACAGTAGATAGATGGATAGGGAGATGACAGACAGATGGACAGGTAGAGAGACTACGGAGGGTAAGGACGGGGGGGAGAAGCAGCCGGGGTGGCTGTGGCCGAGCCGCTGAGGCGGGGGAGGGGCTGCTCTCGCTTAACCTGCCGACTGCACGTCTGAGCTCTCCGCGCCGATGCCCAGATGCACGTCCAACCCCTGGACGGCCTCGACCCCTGCTGCAGGGCAGGGAAGGGCTGTTCATGCACGCGGGCCGCCGGGCGCCATGTCCAGGCCGCCAGCCGTGCACAGACGACCCTCCCGGCCCTGTCCGGACGTGGACGGCGGGACCGACGCCTCGAGAGCGAGCTTTTCACCCAAGACTCCTCGCTTCTCTCTTCTTTGGGACACTGGGCACTGCGTGGGGTGCCCACTTTGTGAACCCCGAGACCTTGACCAAACCTTTATCATTTACTTCTAGCCAAGGCCTCCTGAGCTCATTTACGTTTGCTCAGCGTTTCATAGTGATAGATCTGATATACAGATGACAAATGGTAGATAGGTAGGTGGATCGCAGGTGCCTGATAGATGACAGGTGGGTGACAGGTGGATGAAATGCAGACAGGTGAACGATGACGGACAGCGAGCTGAGCTGTGTCCACCCTGGCATCTCGGGACTTGGAGGCAGGTCCTCACAGAGGAAGTCAAGTTGCGGTGAGGCCGTGGGGGGGGCGCCCTAGGCAAGGAGGGTGAGACCCTATGAAAGGGAGGTTTGGGTCCTGAGACACAGGGGTGGGGAGGGTGCCGTGAAGACACAGGGAGACCTTCATCTGCCAGCCCAGGACGGGGGCCCGGGAGCCTCTCAGACGCCCGCACGAGTGTCGACCACCAAAGCCTTCAGTTTGGGTTTCCAGCCTCCGAGACTGTGAGGTGATGACGTCTGTGTAAGCCACTCCGTTCGTGGCACCTTGTAAGGCAGCCCCAGCCAACAAGTGCAGACAGGCAGGGCAGGTGACCGGTGACAGTGGGCGATGGGTGGGGGTTCGCGCTTATCTACCATCTTGATACTCTGACAAAACCATGCTGCCGACGGGGTGCGGGCGGCCGCGCCTGGGGCAAGGGACTGGACTCCGAGGTCCCTGTTATTACGGGTCTTCCTGGCAGGACCCGATTTCTCATGCTGCGGCCACCCGTGCGGCCGCGTGCTGGCACTCCCGCAGAGCAGGACCGGATGTGCCCCGCTCCACGCCCTATGGACGTTACCTTTGAGGACCGGGCAGATCTTCCAGACGCCGGCAGCGCCCTCCCTGTTGAACTGCCCGAGGGCCAGCTCCATGTAGAAGAGCGGCATGCCTGCGATGACCATGAAGAACAGGTAGGGGACCAGGAAAGCGCCTGCGGGACGTGACAGCACGGTCACGGGGGCTCCAGGACTCAGCTGTCCCCACCGACCATGCGACCCCGGGCCCCTCCCTGCTTCCCCTGAAGCTCCTGGCCGGCCTGCCCTCTCAAAGGAGGCCACGGGCTTGGGTGGTCGGCCTCCCCAACACACCCAGCCCTGCTGTCCTCGGCGCCCTGACACATCCCTGTGGGACCTCGTGTGCCCCCAGCCCCGGCCACAGAGCTACCCGCAGAGCACAGCACGAGGCCCGGCCCGCCGCACTTGGTCCCTTGCCCATCTGGGGAATGTCCGCCCCTCTTGAGTTGTGACTCCCTGGGACCTCTGGACCGCCTCTGATCCACGTGGTCCCATCACCCATCCCCGCTCCAGAATTCAGAGCCTGCCTCCCTGGGGCTGCGGCTGACAGGGGTACCTGCCCAGCACAGAGCCCAGACCCGCTCTGCCTCCCGGAGTGCAGCTTCAAAGCCCGCGATCTGCCTGGGCTCTGTCCTGGGATGGCAGGGAGGCAGGGAGACCTCACAGCTCAGCCTGTCCCTAGGCCACCCCCTGCACCTGCTGAGGCCTTGGTCCCCTCCCCTCAGCTGGCGGAGACTGCCAGTCCACTCCTGGCATGCTGGGGGGCCCTCCTCAGACTGTCTTCCAAAGCCCTGGCTCGGGGCGGTGGGGACGTAACCAGCGAACTAAGGATGCTGGTGGGGGTGGGGGCCGGGGCGTGAGCACCAGCTTACCCGGCTTCTTAGCCTGGGTTTTTGGGGGGGGCCTTGCCCTGTACCTGAGTTTTCTGCCCCGAGTGCTGGGAGAGGTCGAGTTCAAGGCGCAGTGGGAGCAGGGGTGGGGGATGGGCATATCTCCCCGGCAAGGTCTGCTAATCCCAGCTCACAGGCTCCGCCCGCTTTGTGAACACTGTTGAGAGCCAGCCAGAGATGCCCTGCTGTGGGCCTCTGGGGGCTTTCTCCCCAAAGTGAAAGTCACTTTTGGAAAGGAGGTGAGCCGTCTGGGGCATCCGTGCCCGCTAGCGCTGTTAGAAACCCGGCCGCCTTGCCGGAGCGCGCATGTGTCTCGACCGTCCGGGACGCGAGCCCAGCGGGGCGCAGGGGGCGGGGACTCACCCCCGCCGTTTTTGTAGCACAGGTAAGGAAAGCGCCAGACGTTGGCCAGGTCCACCGCGAAGCCGATCACCGACAGGAGGAAGTCGACCTTCTTGCCCCACGTCTCCCGCTCCTGGGTCTCCACGGGGGGCTGCGGGGGGCTGACGAGGGTGGAGTTCGTGAGCTGCACCCCATTCTGCTCCTTGACCAGGACGAGTTCCACCGCCTTCGGGCACATGGCGTTGGAATCCTTGGTTGAGGCCACCACGGAAGACATCGGTCCCACGGGGCGTTCGCTCGTCCTCACGGGCACCCTGGAGCCCAGGGCTCTGTGCTTCCTCCCTCGGTCTTCAGCCAGCATGAAAGACGAACACACAC